ACATGTTAAATTAATCTGTCAAATGTACATGTACATTGTTAGTAACTAAATGGTTAATTAAATTAAATACATATTGAAAAACGAAAAGTAATGTATTATTAAAATAATTGAATTACAGTATGGCTAAAAACATCTAAAAGTTATTTTCACTTGATGTGATATTAATTTCAATTAAGTAAAATTTGACATTAATTAGCATACATAGCTGTGAATAATGAAATGCATTCTTAAGTGTGAAATTCTAATTAACTTGTAATTAAAATTAATAATAATGAAATACAATGAAGACGAATATTAATTAAATGAATATGAATGTTAATTAATTGAGAATTAATAATAAGAAATTCATACATTAATGAAAGCACACGGATAAATTAAATTTGTCAAATATGCATATACATTGATGGTTACTAAATGAAAAAATAAATTAAATATATATTGAAAAATGAAAATAAGATATTATTAAATAATGAATGATAATAGAGATGGAATGGTTCAAAAAATAATATTCACTTGATATGATATTTAATATATTATCGATTATAATAACAATAGATAGCAAGTGGTTGACGAATTAACTCAGTCACATGGGAAGTAGGGACTACTGGACAAGGCATCAAGGACAAAAGTATTGATGTTTACATGGTACATTTCTGTTTCACTCGAACAAAAACAATGAATATTCAAGAAGCATTGAACACCAACGCTGTGCATATCATCTAGCAAAACATGGCCCCTTGCTCAACTAATATCACCTAGCACAGCACCTTCCCCCCGGCCCCACCCCGAACCAAATTAACTTCCCGAGAAGTAGATTCCATTACCTAAACATGTTGGCTGTGGCTCCTCTTCAAGACTTAACTTCCCAAACATTGGGAATGAGGAGAGCACAAAAGGTAGGGCAATAGTTTCACTGCAGTCAGAAACTCGTAATTCTGTGCAATCCGATGTTCAAATCAGAAGAGATGGAGATCTTTGCTTTAGTCGGAAAATCGTAATTTTGCGCAACGAGAGAGAATGGTGCCATGCGGCTTTGAAGACTTGTTTCGGATGAGATAGTATAGACTGAGATGGTTTGTGAGCATTATATTTGATATCAAATATGTGAGTTGTAGGGTCAGCTAAACCAGACGTCAAGTACAGACCGTTATAATTTTGTGTATCATCCCTTAGCATGAACACGGTGCTGTTGATAATGCCTTTCATGTGAGGCTTTTCTCTTAGAAAATTACTCTCAATTTCTGTGGAAGACATAAATTGACTCAGATTGCCACCCTGATTAGGTATATAAAGGAGCATGACATTACATGTTGAAACACATAGTAACTTACATGATACATGTCGTATCTATAATATTTAAATATTATATCAAGTGAGAATCATTTGTTGGACGATTTAACCCTACTCCAATTCAATTATTTCAATAATACCTTGTTTTTTGTTTTTCAATACGTAAAAAATACTACAAAATTCTTGTAATGTATGAATTTTGTGTTATTAATTCTCGATTAATTAACATTAACATTAATATAGATTCAATGAATCTTGACTTGATGAATCTTGATATACATGAATTTAGAGTCATTATAAATGAATTTATTTGTATTCATGTATTTAGAAATTTTAATGGGTATTCAAATTCATGTATTAGAAAGTAATTCTTATGTATCAAATGTAGTATAAAAATATTGATCATTTGCAGTATTTCACTATCACAAAAAATTTGAATCATAGAAGTCGAGTTTCGAAATTACAATTTTCTTCTCTTAAATTTATATCTAGTTCCTGTTTGTGAGAAATTTTTGGATTCATTTTTAGAAATCTAGCCCTTGTTTGACCCATATTATTTTTTCATTTTCATTCATCTTCTCATTTTTAACAACACATTCTTTAATAAAATAATATTTTACATCATACCAATAACTTTTCCTTCATTTTCAACTATATATTCCCTATCACATCACTTAAAAAAATATATATATTCTCTCATTTTAATGTGCACCAAATAGGCTCTTAATGACAGTTGGACAGTAGTTTATCACCCATTTTCTACAATGTTTGACGCATGACATTGTTGACTTGAAAATTGTAAGATTCTCTCTCAGACATTTCTTTTTTTACCCCTGAATTGTAAGTATTGTGTAATTAATTTGAGTGGTTGATAATGGGGGTAAAAAGGGAAATTAGGGTGAGAGAAACTTACCAATTTCTATGGTGCAGATTTGTGTGTCAGATATTGTTGGAAATGTGTCCAAGACAATTGTGCAACGATAATAAAATGTCTAAAAATGAAACACAAATTTCTCTCAAACATGCCCTAAATTAAATTTCATTACATTAATTTTCTCTATCTTCATTTTAACCACACATTCAGCAAATAAAATAATATTATATACAAATCTAAAACTTTTCAACTACACATTCCCCCATCAATCACTATTCTAAAAATTTTCAACCCCCCAAAAATGGGGGCCAAACAGGGGCTTAATCAACCTTATATTTTTATTTTATTTTATTTTTTTTGTCAATTATTCAGTTAAACATGCCAATTATTTTCGCTCAATCCAAGTCCAACTAAAGATTTAATCTAAAAGCTAACGGCAGATATTTCCAAGGGTCCGTTTGATTGCAAATGTGAATAATTGGTGAAAAAAAATGTTTTACAGGGAATTAATTTGTTTAGAAATTATTTTATTGAGAATTGTAATTAATTGTATTTGATTGGTATAATTTTGGCATCCGTTTGGTTTTCTTTTTTTTTTCTTTTTTTATGAAAAGTGTTCATTAAAGTGATAATTTTTTCTACCACTGGATTAAAAAATTTTTCCAATTGAAAAAAAAAAAATATATTTGAAAACAAAATTACCATACCGAATAACATTTGTTTGTCTTTGTTTTGTATGAAAATTGTTGATAAAAGTGATAATTTTTTTCCATTATGTCTAAATTTTTTTCCAATTGTCGAAAAAAAAAACCTGAAAAATATTTNATTCATCAAATAAAATAATATTATACACAAATCTAAAACCTTTCAACCACACATTCCCCCCTCAATCACTATTCTAAAAATTTTCAACCCCCCAAAAATGGGGGCCAAACAGGGGCTTAATCGACCTTATATTTTTATTTTATTTTTTGTCAATTATTCAGTTAAACATACCAATTATTTTCGCTCAATCCAAGTCCAACGAAAGATTTAATCTAAAAGCTAACGGCAGAAATTTCCAAGGATCCGTTTGATTGCAAATGTGAAAAATGGGTGGAAAGAAAATGTTTTACAGGGAATTAATTTGTTTAGAAATTATTTTATTGAGAATTATAACCTGGAAAATATTTACCAACCAAAACATCAAAAATTTGTTTCCCTCAAAAAGGTGGAAATGTTGAAAAATTGGAAAATATTTTCCCGGGAAAATTTTGCTAATCAAACACTACAAAAATTGAAAAATAAAAAAACAATTCTATTTTCTATGAAAAATATAGTGTATCAAACGGAGCCTACTTATTTTCCGACGGCAGCAATTACTTCTTTGAGTAAATTGTAGTGTCGTTCTTTCTCTAACTAAAAACAAAAAATGGAAAACAAAAGATAGACTCACGTCGAGTCATTCAACTCAACTTTAAGTCAATCAATGGCCAAAAAGAAGCTCACTTGGAAAACCCTATCCACATCCAATGATTTGTTTGGCACAATATATAAGCAAGTTAAGAATATTTAAAAGTTTTTAAAATATTGAATATACTATCACCCCTAATTTTAAAATATATGAATATTTAAAAGTTTTTAAAATCAAAATTTTAGTAGATTTTAATAAGATTTGATGAAATATGTGGTTGAAAAGTTGTGAATCCTACGAAATATTTTATTAAGATTAATTGTTGATTTTGACTTAAATTAAAATCTAAATTTTTATCCCACCAAATAGAGGCTATATATATGTATATATATAAAAAAAAAACTTTTTCTACACTTCAATGATAAACAGTGATATCTAACAAGATTTTTTCACCTCGTGAAAAGTAATAATTTTACCCGAACACGACATTACTTTTTAAATTACAACTTATAAGTCAACATGAAAGGGCGTCTTCAACTGTGATTTTAATTATGAATTTTAAAAAATTATAAATTCTAATGAATTTCTTGAATTTGAATAGATTTCCACGTAATTCCTAAGAATCTATAAATAGACATCATCGACTGAGATTTTAATGAATTTTAAAAGATTATAAATTCTAAATAAATTTCGTGAATTTTAATAAATTTTCACGGAATTCATAAGAATCTCATTAAAAATGAGAAAATTTCATAATAGTTTGTTAGGTGCATTTTCAAGTTTGAAATTCATCAATGAAATCCTTTTACTAATTAATGAAATCTTTATAAATTTACGAGTTATCGATGATATCTAATTTTTAAATAATTTAATTGAAAGTCATTAAAATCTAAATTGAAGACACTTCATAGATTTTAATTAAATTTGTTAGAATCTCAATTGTGGATACTTGAATTTATAAATATTTTTAAAATTCATTAAATCTCAATTGAGGATGTCCCTGCAAAAATGGTAAAATTTTAAAAAAGTTTATTATGTGTATTTTAAATAAGAGCATGTTTGACAATTATTTTGGTAGAAAAAAATGTTTTAAATAGTAATTTTTAAGATAATGTGTAATTAAAAAACAGAGAAAAGTTTTTGATACACGTATAAAATATTTGACGGTGTGAACTTGTGGTTAAAAATAATCATCACAAACAGTGAAATAAATTTTGTCTTACACAAACATCCTAAAAATCATGTGACGAAGACTTGATTTCTATTGGCTACCAAAATTCTGCGAACACAAAGTAACAAACTAAAATTCAGTTCTTTTAATCATCGGAGTTATCGCTCCTAGTAATCCTTTATCTTCTTCGTCTCTCCATTTTTTTTGTGTGGATTTATAGAACTATGAATTGATTGCAATCTTAGTTTCTCCAGCAGTATACAGTACACACTATGGCGAGTACTACAGTTAGTTTAACGATTCTGATTCTGATTGTGAGTGTTTTGTGTTTGGCGGAATGCAAGTATATGGTTTACAATACTTCACAGGGCATTGTTCCTGGGAAGCTTAATGTTCATATGGTTCCTCATTCGCATGATGATGTTGGGTGGTTGAAGACCATTGACCAATATTATGTTGGCTCTAATAACTCTCTACAGGTTATATTTCCCCAATGGATTAATGAATTGATTGGTTTTTGGTTTGGGTTAGGCTCTATTTTACTTTTTCTATTTATATTTCTATTTCTTCTGAGCTTCATTTCGTATTAGTCTGGATATTTTCATAATATGAATTACTATCTGGGAAAATAGTATATTATTTGGAAAATTATAGAAATCGTGGCTGTAGTGTCATTTTTGAAGTTGATTGAATTTTATCGGTTGAATATGCTGGTTTTTATGCAGGGAGCGTGTATTCAGAACGTACTGGATTCGTTGATTCCCGCACTATTGGCTGATAAAAACAGAAAGTTTATTTTTGCTGAACAGGTAAAACTATCAACCTTTTTCTCACATGTTCGTGTTTGTCAAGTGTCCCATGAAATGCACTTTGATATAATTGCTCGTGACACAGGCATTTTTCCAGCGGTGGTGGGAAGATCAGAGTGAAGCAATGCAAAACACAGTCAGAACTCTTGTCAGCTCGGGTCAACTAGAGATGATGTACCATTTTTACATCATACAATATTACGCCAATAACATTTACAATTCTATAAATAATTATGAAAAATTAGATGATCTTAGCTTGTGCCTTGAGAATAAACAGCTACCTATATGTGTTTTTAATTTATAACATGTTTGGAGTTGTATATAAACGGTTCAAATTATAAACACATAAAAATGAGTGGCGGATAAGTGAGGACTACTTGTGGATTTCATGGAATGTGTGGATAAAAAGTGATTTGACCGTTATAAACAAATTACAAATGGTAGCCAGACATGGGCTTAATTGATTGCTCATGTAGTAAGTATGAAAGTTAAAGACAGATTATATTTTCTTCCTTCAACTCTTCTATGATAGGTGAAACATTTTATCTATTTGTTCATGTAAATGTAGAAATGGTGGTATGTGCATGCATGATGAGGCGACAACACATTACATTGACATGATAGATCAGACAACTTTGGGCCACCGATTTATTAAAAAGGAGTTCAATGTCACTCCAAGAATCGGTTGGCAAATCGACCCCTTTGGACATTCTGCTGTTCAGGCTTACCTTCTGGGGGCAGAGGTAAAGTCATGACTCTTTCGACTTTAATTAGTGTCCAGCCATCATTTTCTTATTCAAAGTTTAAGCATCGTCACATATTCTGCAAAATAATCTATATGCGTTTAGTCAATATAATGACCTTGTGATTATTAATGGTTTAGGTTGGATTTGACTCTCTTTTCTTTGCACGTATTGACTACCAAGATAGAGCAAAGAGGAAAGGTGACAAGAGTCTTGAGGTTATCTGGCGGGGTTCTAAGAGTATTGGTTCGTCTGCTCAGGTCAGTTTCACATTGCCAAAATTTTCGATGTTTCAATTGGACCAAGATATATACGTATTTTCATGTTTATGAATATTGTTATGTCTCGCCAATTTGTTTATGGAAATCTCATGCATTGAACAAAATGTTGAACCTTGTTTTGCTTCCCACCGTTTTAGATATTTACTGGTGCATTCCCTGAGAACTATGAACCACCAAGTACATTTTACTTTGAAGTCAACGATGATTCCCCGATTGTCCAGGTAAAGTTTTTAAGGAATAAGTTGTTGGGCCGTGGAACTATTTCTGCTGGCATAGTACTTATACCTTAATTTTTTTACTACTGAAGGATAACGTTAACCTCTTTGACTACAATGTTCAAGAGCGTGTTAATGATTTTGTAGCTGCTGCATTGTCACAGGTATGTGGATTTTAATGTTGTCCTTTTCAATTCATTGCAAAGTTGTCAAGCCGTTTTTAACTGATTGTTTGTAGAAGTGTGGTCTAACGATATTTTTTTATTCTTTTTTAAATTTAATTTTGTGGAATTGTTATTTCAAATGAATTAAGTTCAAATGTATATGAAGCAACTGTCTTGGTTGGTTGATTTTCGGTTTTACACAGGCTAACATTACCCGTTCAAACCATATAATGTGGACTATGGGAACAGATTTCAAGTATCAATATGCCCAGACATGGTTTCGCAATATGGACAAGCTCATACATTATGTAAATCAAGTTAGTATTTCCTTGGTTGTATTCTTCACATTCTTTTTAGTGTTGGTTGTTATGTTACCTCTGTTACAGAAGTTAGAGCTCATTTTGTGAAAATATCATTATGTGTGGTGAATAGTTGCTCGGTACTTATTATTGCTATCAATTCTTTATCATTACTAGTGGTCTAGTGTTTCAGTTCTATTTCTTGTTTTATAAACTTTTAATACAATCAATGTAGGATGGGCGTGTAAATGCCTTATATTCAACTCCATCCATATACACTGATGCAAAATATGCTTTAAATGAGTCCTGGCCTCTTAAAACTGACGATTACTTCCCGTAAGTACAAAATTTTTCAACTGTATTGCTCTATAAACAACACTATTTTTTTTCTGTTCTTGAGTTGTTTGCTAATGGTTGATGCATGTTGTGTATCAGATATGCAGACCGTGTCAATGCTTATTGGACTGGTTATTTTACAAGTAGGCCTGGTCTCAAAGGCTATGTTAGAATGATGAGTGGCTACTATTTGGTAGGTCATAATACCATTTCATATGTTTTTTAATAATTTGGATCCTCACTATGCTTGTATAACTAAATAAAATAGGCAGCAAGGCAATTGGAATTTTTCAGAGGAAGAATTACTGGACGCACGACTGACTCTTTAGCTGATGCTTTGGCTATCGTGCAACATCACGATGCGGTTACTGGTACGGAAAAGCAACATGTCGCCAATGATTATGCTAAACGGCTTTCGATCGGTTACAAGGAGGTGAAGTTTTTCCCAATGTCCTAGTATTGAGTCATTACTGCAGTTGATCACTTCACTATTTATTCAATTAATGTGTTTTGTAAGACTACTTGCAGGCTGAGGAGGTTGTTGCTGCATCACTTGGTTGTATGACCCAGTCATCGCCATCTTCAGTATGCAAGAATCCCATTCCAAAATTCACACAGGCAAACATTTGGGACCTTTCATTCTGCTGAAATTGTCTCTTTTCCCTTTCTCTTGCTAGATGTAGATAGTTTGATAATTTATATTAATTTTTGGGTCAACTACTGATGCATTGAAATTATTATTTCTCCTTTACAGTGTCCGCTTCTGAACATAAGCTATTGTCCTCCAACAGAAATCGATTTGTCTCTTGGGAAAAAACTAGTAAGTAGAATGATTTTTTGTTGATTTGCTGTAAAAGCCTTTTTCATAGTTATGAAGATTGCTGAGCTTTTGGGAAAATATCGAAGTTATTTCCTAACATAATTTGTTTCATTTGGAGTATATAAGTACCATGTCTGTTTTCTGTAGGTGGTGGTCGTCTACAATTCTTTGGGGTGGACAAGAACAGATGTTGTGAGAATTCCTGTGAGTACTTTAAAAACATTTCTTTCGCGTGTTACTTAGGTTGAATTATCTAGATTAATTTCAAAGAAGGGTTTATTCATATTTTATGCCCCTGTTTGAGCCACATTAAAATTTTCATTATCATTCTTCTGCTTATTTTCAATCACACATTCTTCAATAAAATAATATTTTCCATCACATCAATAATTTTTCTTTCTTTTTCAACCACTGTGGTTGAAAATGAAGGAAAAGTTATTGATGTGATGGAAACTATTATTTTATTGAAGAATGTGTGGTTGAAAATGAGTACAAGAATGAGAATGAAAAAAATAATGTGGCTCAAACAGGCCTATATCTTCTGATTCATCTTTATTCTTGGATTGTTTTTGTTATTATTTATTAAAAAAGGACTGATCTATGCGACATGAAATCAGCAAATATTTATCTCTATAAGAAATGCTTGATAAACGATAAACAAGTTATAATCTGTATGCTAGAGCATAAGGATCTATCCTTTTGAAAAAAATAAAAACATTTACGGATTTATGTCATAGAATAATGCTTAATTGTATGCTTACAAACTTTTTAAACTCATGTTATATGTCCAGGTTATCAATGAGAATATAACTGTTCAGGATTCTGCTGGAAAAGTGATTGTATCACAGCTTCTTCCTATAGTTAATGCCACATTAGCTGTGAGGAAGTACTATGCTAGTGCATATACGGGTGAATCACCCAGTGTTAGTCCCATGTATTGGCTAGCATTTGAAGCGGTGGCACCACCTTTGGGTTTTAGTACTTATGTGATCTCAAGTGGTAAAATCTCAGGTTGTTAGCCATATTTTCATATTTTAAAACCATTGATTTCAGTCAATCATGTACAGTGAATCCATTTTAAGTCTGGTTACATGCTCATCTCCTGTTTCAGGGAAGCAAACATCTTACGCATCTGATGGAAGTCAAAATGATACTATAGAAATAGGCCCAGGCAACTTGAAGCTTATATATTCTGGGAATGATGGAAAACTTATCCAATATATTAATAAGCGAAACTCGGTATGTTATTCTAGAAGTGCTCCATCTCTTCTCCTATTTCGTTTCATCTCCTCGGCACAATTTTATGTTTAATACCATAACCTATATGCTAAAATGTGTATTTCACGAATATAGGTTAAAGTTTCTCTGGGGCAATCATATAGTTACTATGCTGGAGTAGACTTTGACTCAGATCAGGTACTAGCCCTCTTCTTTTATTTGAGCTCCTTCTGTTGAACCCTAAATGGATTCTGTTGAAGTTTATTACGTTTAATCATATTTTTCGTTGTTCTTTCTACTTCATTTTATTTTTACCTTAGTAGAATGGTTTAACTTATCTTCTAACTATTATATTTACTTGTTGAAGGCCACTGGAGCATACATTTTTCGCCCAAATGGTACCTCATTCCCAATTCAGTCTGAGAAGGTAGACAATTTTCCATTGAAGTCGAGTATTTGATGCATTACCTCCAATTTAATGATCAAATACATCGCAGATTCCACTAACAGTTCTTCGGGGACCACTGTTTGATGAAGTCCATCAAAGAATTAGTTCATGGATATATCAGGTATTGCCAAATTCATTAATTTAGTATTCTTTATTTTAACTCATTTGGAATAAGAGTCACGCCATAGAAATTTAAGTCGGAAAGAGGATTTGTCAGGTTCATGGATATCACAGTGCTTACATTTCAATCATTACTTTCAACCAGTATCTACCATGAATATTTTTGGAAGTGTTTTCTAATCATAGATTGCTAACTTGTTTATGGGTAGATTACGAGAGTCTACAAGGAGAAGGAACACGTTGAGTTTGAATTTACTGTAAGTCAATCTTACTTCATTTGTCCCTGGAGATTTGAAAATATTTAGATCTAGAAATGCCATTATTGGAGCGGCTTCCATAAATTTTCTCAAATTGCAGGTGGGCCCCATACCCATTGACGATGGAGTTGGCAAAGAAGTTGTATCTCAGATATCAACCGCATTACAAAACAACAAAACATTTTATACAGACTCTAATGGACGCGATTTTCTTGAACGGGTATGTATCGTACACTACTTCTATGTCTGATGGTAATAAAGAATATTGTTATTCGCCACATGAGATTTTGTTCAGCATATTTCATCCTTATCATGTACCATCTGTCCATTTTCTATCTGGTAAATTGTAAGCTTTGTCATATGACAAGTATATTGTCATCTTGCAGATTCGAGACTATAGAGCTGATTGGGACCTTCAAGTGAACCAACCTGTTGCTGGAAACTATTATCCTGTATGTTTGAACTAGCTCTAAAGTTATTAGATTTTTTTCTTAAGAAAAGGATTTTTCATAAATCACACTCTTATTCAACTAATTGGAGACTAGAAGAGTTCACTTTTCTAAACGTCAAAAATGACGAAGTGTTCTCCTTTATTGTAGACTTAGAATGTAACTAGTTTGTCTCCAGATAGATTGAATATTTTGGCTTCAGAAATTAAAATTCAGTTGGTGTTTCTTTCAGATCAATCTTGGAATTTACATGAAAGATAAGACCACTGAGCTATCAATCTTGGTGGATAGATCTGTGGGAGGTTCGAGCATTGTTGACGGCCAAGTGGAGCTAATGCTCCATAGGTTGTTCTAATTCTTTAGTGTTTTTTTTTTTTTTTTTTTTTCTGAATTGAAATTTAATTTTCCTTCTTTTGATATTTGTATATGAACTAGTTGAGAGACAACCAACAGCTTTGAGATAAATGACTCGAGTCCCCTTGTTTTATAGGAGATTGATCTATGATGATGGCAGAGGTGTTGACGAGGCTTTAAATGAAACAGTTTGCGTTCTTGATAAATGCACAGGTTTAACGGTATGATGTCAAGTAAAAAATTTGAAATTGAAGTAGATGTGGATGCAATAATCTGCTGCATTTATTTTGCAGTGTACTTCCTCAGCTCTATCTAATTAGATTAAGTAGCATTCTTACTTTCTTGCAGGTCCAAGGTAAGTACTTCGTAAGATTTGATCCACTTGGAGAGGGATCCAAGTGGCGTCGGACATTTGGACAGGAGATATACTCTCCATTTGTTTTAGCTTTCACTGAGCAGGTAATTTAAAGACCTGCAGTGTTTCTGCTGCTAATGCAATCGTTCTGTTTAACTCGAATTTTTTTTCATATAACTATAGGATGACAACTGGACAAACTTCCAAGTGCCATCCTTTTACGGCATGGACCCGTCCTACAGTTTACCCCACAATGTTGCGATTATAACCCTCCAGGTAACCCTTCAGTGCATCTTCAGTTCTCTTATTTAATACAGTTCATTACTATTCAATCCACATTACTATATATGCCATCGGTGGAGAATGATGGTTCCATTTATGACTAGGGGAGGGAAAATTAGTCGCCTAACCAACCCAAACCGCCAAAACGAATTGGCTCAGGTCGGTTTGAGGGATCGTGTTTAAAAAAAGAATTGATTTTTAAGAGAGAATCTCCTTTAACCCAATAAACCGAACCGATCCAAACCCATCGAGTTGGTTTATTCATCTTGTCGGTTTGGTTGTTGGGTTGGGTCTAACTCAACTTGTGCCCACCCCTATTTATCACCTAGTTTTACTTTTAGACTTATTATTACCTCTCCATTGCGAAACCTCAGGAGCTTGAAGATGGAAGTGTCCTACTCCGGTTTGCTCATTTATACGAGGTTCTTTCTTCTTCTTCACGCACCAGAAAATGTCATTTTTCTTCTAATACTCCTTAAAAACCTGTTTTGTGCAGCTATTTGTTTTTATTTTCCGAAAGAAATTATTATGAAAACATTTCAGAGAAAATGTTGTGTGTCTTGTTATGATTAATAATTTCGGTCTGATCCTAGGTCGGAGAGGATAACGACTTTTCAGTATTGGCAACTGTAGAGTTAAAAAGAATTTTCCCGAATAAGGTAAGTATTTTCAAGTCAAACAAGTTAGTGATTATACTTGTGTATCTTCTATTGTTAATAACCTTCACATGTCCTCCTTTAGATGATCAAAGTTACAGAAATGAGTTTATCTGCTAATCAAGAAAGAGAAGAAATGGAGAAGAAAAGATTAGTTTGGAAAGTAGAAGGCTTGAATGGAAAACAAGGCAAAGTGTTGAGAGGGCGTCCAGTGGATCCCGTGAAGTTGCTTGTAGAACTTGCACCAATGGAAATTCGTACATTCATCATAAACTTCAACTGAAAGTTCTCCACAACTACAAGGTGATGTAAGTTGACATCAGTTGATTGGTCGAATAACAGTCAACGGTGAGACTTTAAAACATCGAATTGTACATGGCTGGAAGGTTATGAGCAGCTCTAGTGGTTTCTCCGGTTTTATGCCTCTACCAAAATAAAATGTGCAACTGTCTATTAAATGATGTTGCCAAATGTATCATTTTGTGTTTGAATTGTTCATCGAAGTTGTATTAAATCATGTCGTCACAATGGTGTCGGTGAAGAATTTAGTCGTTATTGACAACAGAACATAAATATCCAATGTTTGCCGACAACATTATGGTATAACGAATATCGATTAAGTGATAGCTTTTGTTGTGAAGTATAAAATTATTATTGTTTTATCCAAGAATTCCCTTTCTAGTCTCTCTTGAACTTGGTTTCTCCCCTCGAAACATTTTCCACATAATTTTCAGCATTTTTCGACTTTATTTTTTTGTTCAAGTTATAAAACAATTTTTGTGCAAAATTATTTATTTCGTAAATATTTACTTATTTTGGTACTTGTCAGTCACCATAAAATAGTCATCGCCATTAGGAGTGGCCAAATTAGTAGCCTAACCGATCCAAACTGCCAAAACGAACCGAGGTCGGTTTGAGGGGTTGTGTTTAGAAGAAGTGGTTTTTAAGGGAAAAATCTCTTTCAACTCGACAAATCGAATCAATCCAAAATGAATGAATCGGTTTATTCATCTTGTTGATTCGATTGTTGGGTGCTGACACCTTTCACCATCAAGGTGTCACCATCAACTTTTTCCGTTGTCATCACTTCATTGAAATTTTGTTGATGTTGAGTTAGTAATAGAGACATGATAAAATAAAAATATAGAGAATGAACGTAGGTTAATGAAGAAGTAAGAGTCTCAATACCATTCAACAAAAATTAGTTCTCTTAAAGTATGGAGTATTCAATATTCATTATTACTATTTAATTGACCAGTAGATTAGACAATTGAGACTCACTATTTACATGGTGATCTTAATGAGATTTTATTGAATTTTAAAAATTCTTGTAAATATAGGTGTCCTCGAAAGAGATTTTAAAATCTAGGTATATTCAATTGAGATTTAAAAAAAATCTTCGAAATCTAGCTCTCCGCAATGACTTGTAAATTTACATGTATTTGATTAATAAAAGGGATTTCAAGATATTCATATGTATCTAAATAAAAATACACATAACAAAGAATTTTGAAATTTTACCATTTTAACGAGATTCTTATGAATTTAGTGAAAATCTATTTAAATTCATGAAATTCATCAGAATTTATAATTTTTTTAAAAATTCATTAAAATTCAAATTTAGGAACCTCTAAAATAGCGAATAGATATACGAATAGGGGTGGACAAAAAAATTGAAAACCAACCAAACCAAATTGAGCCGGCTCGGTTTGAACCAAAATCGATCTGATTCGATTAATATTAAAAATTAAAAAGTCAAATCGAATTGGTTGCATTTTAAGCAATCAACTCGTCAATTAACCGACCCAACCAGTTAGTGATTTTTATTTTTTTTTTAAATTCATCCTTTTAAACTTAAAAAATATAATAATAAAAATAAAAATATAATTTTTTTTCAAATAATTTTTTTATCGTCTATATTTCTTCTACCAAAATTTCAAATTCTAAAAGAACAGAAGAAAAGCAAGGAAAAGATTTGTTTATTGTAAACTCCAAATTCAGATTGTAGCAATGATTTTCGTTTTGGTGTAATTGTTTGTTGGTAACTATTGAATATATATGATTTTGGGAAAATCGACCATCTACCATATATATAAGATTTTTTAATCCAAAATAGAGGCAAATTATTATTATTATTATTTTTTTAACAAAGACCAATGTTCAAACCGATTAATCAAACAAAACCAAACTCATTTAGTATGATTTCAATAGCAGGATTGGGTTGGTTTGAATTGGAATTTATTTAAACTGATAGAGTTGGTTTTCAATTTCCGATTGGACTCAAAATCAATCTAATCCGAACCATGCCCAAGCTTAGATACATGTGTGTGCTTATTGATATATCTATATCAATTATATATATATGCTAATAAAATGTAGTTTTTAGGGTTAAATCCACTAATGATCACCCAACTTTATACATAGTGTCATCATTGATACCCAATTTGATTTTGTTGCAGATGGTCACCCAACTTTATATTTAGTGTCACCATAACTACTCAATTTGATTTTATTACACTATGACCACCAAAATTCATATAAAGTTTTATTATGACTACCTAATTTCATATAACATTTCACCATGACCACCCAATTTCTTTTTACAATTTTCACTAATTTTCACGGGGTAAAACGGTAACTCGTATTATATATATAAAATAAAATTTTAAAAATAAAAGTTTATTGAAATTTTAAAAATGTTTATTTTAAAATAAGTTTTTATTTTATTTTTAAAACTTTTTTTAAATAAGTTTTTATTATTATTTTTTTTTAAGAAACATGTTTTTTAAAATAACTTTTTATTTTATTTTATTTTTCTAAGTAATTTTTTTTTAAAAAAATAAGTTTTTATTTCTTTTTTTCTAATTAAAAGCCTGTCTGCCAGCACTTTTTTCCCAGATTTTCAGTCGTTTTCTGACCGTTGCCAGCCGAAATTTTGGACTTTTCTCTCACACTTCACTTTCCAACGGACTGAAAATTGCTTTTAATTTTGTCAAAACGTGCTGCCAGACAAGACCTAACTATTTTTTTAAAATAAGTTTTTATTTTTTTTTACTTTTTTAAAATAAGTTTTTATTTTTATTTTTTAAAAAAATTATTATATTAATACAAAGTTACTGTTTTACTTCTTCTAAAATTAATGAAAATGGTAAAAAAAAATTGAGTTGTTATGGTGAAATGTTATATGAAATTTGGTAGTCATGGTGAAACGTTATATGAAATTAGATGACCATGGTAAAATAAAATCAAATTAGGTGGTTACCGTGACACTAAATATAAAGTTGGATGACCATGGTGAAGTAAGATAAAATTTGGTGGTCATAGTGACGCCAAGTATAAAGTTGGGTGGTCATTGATGAATTTAACTTGTTTTTATTTATGGTTGAAATATATACTCATTATCAGACTCTCGAGGTAGTCAAATTATTAATGACTTTTAAAGACTTTTATAAAAGTTTCTAGGGTTCTAACTTTTCAACATAAATTACTAAAATAAAATTTTAAAATTTGTTTATCATTCGTCCCAAAATTTTGGGAGACTTGCATAAAAAAATATATCTATATCAATTATATATATATGCTAATAAAATGTAGTTTTTAGGGTTAAATCCACTATTGATCACCCAACTTCATACATAGTATCATCATTGACGCCCAATTTGATTTTGTTGCATATGGTCACCCAACTTTATATTTAGTGTCACCATAACTACCCAATTTGATTTTATTACACTATGACCACCAAATTTCATATAATGATTATTTAATTTCATATAACATTTCACCATGACCACCCAACTTCTTTTTACAATTTTCACTAATTTTCATGGGGTAAAACGGTAACTTGCACTATATATATAAAATAAAATTTAAAAAATAAAAGTTTATTGAAATTTTTAAAATGTTTATTTTAAAATAAGTTTGTATTTTATTTTTAAAACTTTTTTAAAATAAGTTTTTATTTTATTTTATTTTTNTGTCTGCCAGCACTTTTTCCCCAGATTTTCAGTCGTTTTCTGACCGTTGCCAGCCGAAATTTTGGACTTTTCTCTCACACTTCACTTTCCAACGGACTGAAAATTGCTTTTAATTTTGTCAAAACGTGCTGCCAGACAAGACCTAACTATTTTTTTAAAATAAGTTTTTATTTTTTTTTACTTTTTTAAAATAAGTTTTTATTTTTATTTTTTTAAAAAATTATTATATATAATACAAAGTTACCGTTTTACATTTTCTAAAATTAATGAAAATGGTAAAAAAAATTGAATTGTTATGGTGAAATGTTATATGAAATTTGGTAGTTATAGTGAAACGTTATATGAAATTAGATGACCATGGTAAAATAAAATCAAATTGGGTGGTTATCGTGACACTAAGTATAAAGTTGGATGACCATGGTGAAGTAAAATCAAATTTGGTGGTCATAGTGACACCAAGTATAAAGTTGGGTGGTCATTGATGAATTTAACTTGTTTTTATTTATGGTTGAAATATATACTCATTATCAGACTCTCGAGGTAGTCAAATTATTAATGACTTTTACAGACTTTTATAAAAGTCTCCAGGGTTCTAACTTTTAAACATAAATGACTAAAATAAAATTTTAAAATTTGTTTATCATTCGTCCCAAAATTTTGGGAGACTTGCATAAAAAAAAAAAATGTATTTTTTTTATTCTCTCTCTCTCTCTCTCTCTTATTTTTTATCTTAATTTTTTATAAAAAAAATAATTTGTAACTAACAATTCTTAATAACTTTTTTTTTTAATCATTTTTTAATGAAAAAATCTATTTGTAGTTAAGAATTATAAGATTTTTATATAAAAAGATCAATTTATATTTAAATTTAAATATATTAATTTCTTTTTTACTTTAAAGTATGTCAAATTGATAATTCTAAATATTAAATTATTTGCCCGTGTTTGACCCATATTATTATGTCAAATTGATAATTCTAAATATTAAATTATTTGCCCGTGTTTGACCCACATTATTTTTCTCATTTTCATTTTCATTCTTCTACTCATTTTCAACCACACATTATTCAATAAAATAATATTTTTCATTACATCAAAAACTTTTCCTTCTTTTTCAACCACATATTCTTCACTAATCACATCAACAGTAAAAATGCATTCTTATTCCTAAAATGTGCAACAAACAGGGGCTATTTATTTTTATGAAAGAATAATGTGCATATATTTTAGAATTTTTTTTTTTTATGAACATATTTGGTTAAGTTTAAAATCTAATTAAAACTGAAAATATAGTCGTTATTGGGTTTCACTAGTCTAATAAAAGTCAACAATAACGACTAATTTTTCAATTTTAATCCGATTTTAATCTCTACCGAACACACCCTATATGAGAAGGTGTATGTGAGATTTTATACTATTGTTTTAGATCCANTTTCCGTGTTTATGGATTGGATCGTTTCTGCCAACGAAATGAAGGCGGAGCCCGTTCCGAATGCTTCTCCGATCCGGAAGTTCTCGCGAAGAGAATAAGATGCTGCTCCCCCTCCCTCTGTCTTTTCCCGCTTTGCTAATCTTCCCCTATAACGCGGGCCGGGCGGCGGCGGCGGGCGCGGGAGGAAGAAACCTAAGAGACTAAGAGAAGACGCTCTTATCTTAGGTCCTTTTTTTTCAGTGCAATACAGGAAAGCGCCCTCTTTTTGTCATCCCTGCAGCTTTCCAGATTTTGGTATTGAAGGCATGGCGTAGCTAGGATCCTTCAAATCATGTTTGAGCCTATGTTCAAAAAAAACCAAAACCACCCCCGGTTTAAAAGAATGCCCGCCAAGTTCAGATAAGGGAATGCTTCCCCCTACCATTAAAGGAAAGGCTCGACGAAGGGAGGGAGATGCGGCGGGGGAAGGAAAACGCTTTTGGAGATCGAGATTGGATTTGTTTTTCATCGAAAAAGCAAGGATATGTTGCCAATTAGTTCGGGCTTCAATCAGAACGATCAGGTTGAGGAAACAACCCCTAGAGATTTATTTAAATAAAACTACACATAACAAAGAATTTTGAAATATATTTATACCAATTTCAATTTACTCGGTCCCAGCCCCAAACCCTCTTGTCTACCCTGACCCACGAAAACTTCTCTTATTAGGAACGGCCGGAATATACCTTCAATCTTTAACGCGCTGTTGTCTCCATTCAATTGGACCTCCACAGTTTTTCAGATCTTCATTTTCTTAGATGGCAAAAGCAAACGATATCGCGGCTATGGAAATCGATAATCAGAATTCGATCACCACTGATCAGATCAATATCACCAAGTTCTCCGTCAATGGTATACAATGTATTTGACTACCGCTCTATATAGAATTTAATTTTTAATATTTTTTTTTGGCAAATTGACAGTGCTGCAGCTCTTGAAATCGGCTCAAATGCAGCATGGATTGCGCTTTGGCGATTACCTTCGTTACCGGTATAATTCAATTACTGTTTCTAATGCTATTTTTCAGTTTTCTTGCGTGCGCCTTTTTATAAATGAAAATATTCGTTTTTTTTTTTTGAAATTTTGGAAGGGAAAAGTGGGGTTTGAGATACTGAATTAGGTTTAGTTTTTGGGAGTTTGGTGCGAAATTGATGCGATGTTTATTTTTATTTTTGCTGAGACGCTTGTTCACCTTTGAGTTCTTAGGCGATACTGCACTGCACGTTTAAGAAGACTGTACAAATCTCTGAAGTTCACGCACGGCCGTGGAAAGTATACAAAAAAAGCCATTGCTGCTTCTACGGTCACTGAAGTCAGGTAAGTGAGCACTTGTACCAGTGTCCTTGTTTATAATTTTTATTTTGTGAATCACAGGATTCAATTGATGTCTTCATTTAAGAATTCAATAATTTGGTGATTTTACTTGTGTTGTCTATGAAAGAATATTTACAAATTTCCATAATTATAATTTAATTAGCAGGTCAATTCATGAGGCTTTTATGCTGTTTAAGTTTCTGGTTTCCTAATTACATCTTTTACTATATAAATCCATTTCAATTATAATTCAATTCTCACCAAAACTGTCATTTCCCAAAAGAGTATATCGATAACATAAGAAGCTCCCAATCGAGCTTCTCCTCTTCCACTTGAGAGATTTCTTGTGGAATTCTTTCAAGTCTTGTTAAAAGATCCATGGCTACGCTCAAAGCCTTTTTTTGCCGACTCTTTCAATTATCACCAAAAGATGTCTTTTAATCGAAGCACTTGTTCCCTTGTACAAATATAGGTTTCTCCATTTGGTCCTCTATATGGCTGAAAGAGCATGGAGCCATGCCATGGAAAAGAAAACGTTACCAGATGGTCCAAATGCACGCCAGCGCAGCTACCTTATAGGTAGATTGAGAAAGGCAGTAAAATGGGCTACCCTCTTCCAGGAGTTGTGTGCCTTCAAAGGAGATTCCAGAACATCTCTAGAAGCTGAGGTGTGGATTGTGACTTTGATTTGGCTGCTTTATACTGATTTGTCATTTTAATTTGTGGTTCAGTAATTATATTATGACTCATTTAATAGATCACTATATTTTTCAAGTCTTTTAAGTAGGCTTTTTCTTGTTAGCATTGTGGATTATTGTTCTTTTGATTGCCTTCCATGTCATCTTTAAAGTTTCTTAATATGAATGGCAATTTTAGTATATATAAAGCTGGAGAGGCAGTTTCTATGTCATGATAACACCCCTGAATAATTGGATAGGCTCATGGAAAGTATACGAACTGGTAAAGGAATGGATTATTGGACAAGTAAAGGAACATATTAGCGAACGCATCAATGCTGGCTTCTGTATCTTTTCAGAGAGTACACAATACTTTTCTTCCCGTGTCTTGACTTTTTAATCCCACGGCTTTGATTCGTTTGAGTAAAGTCTACCCTGAATTATTGTAATACACGATTTTACCTTTTTCTGCCCACAATTTTTTAGGTAAAAATTGATTCTCCCGGTTGTTTTCTGTTTAAATTTCAATGTCTTACATGCATAACGCTGTTATATCTTTGTTGAGTCATGCTGAACTCCTCTTTTAAAAAAGATGAAATTTCTTATGAAGCCGCTTTTGGTTTCTAACTTGCAGGCCTATGCTGCTTATATGAAGGGGAATTTGTTATTTGAACAAGATCAGCACTGGGACATAGCATTGAAATGTTTCAAAAGTTCCAGGTACATTCGTGTCAGATAATTGTGTCGTTTGGCTTGTTCATAGATGGGAAGGCTTAACTTGTTGGCTTTTATACATAGCATAAAATTCTATTTTTTGACTCAAGAGAAAGTAAAGTGAATTTATTACGTCTTTGCACCAGATGTTTTGCATTTTCATCAGCTCACTACCTGTGTACAAGGGTATTTCTGCTATCTTTGCTGCTATAACATGTTGGCTAACTTCATAATTCTGATAGGGCTGTTTATGAGGAACTTGGGAAGTATGGAGACCTAGAGAACCAAGTATTGTGCCGGGAACGGGTTGAAGAACTTGAGCCAAGTATACGATATTGCCTACATAAAATTGGGGAGTCAAATTTACCAACTTCTGAGCTAGTACACATAGGAGAAATGGAAGGGCCTGCTCTCGACCTTTTCAAAGCTAAATTGGAGGTTTGTATTTTTCCAAGTACGCAATGCTTGTTATTATACATGTAGTGGCTATATTCTGATTATATTCTTTTTCATAGATTAAGGGGAGGGTAGTTTTGTTCTAGGATACAAAGAAAAAAAGAAAAAGAAACTGCACGGGCGTCTCGGTATGATTTAATCTTCATTGTCCTTTTTTTAATTTGGTTGTTTTCATTGTAGGCTGCCATGGCTGAGGCTAGGTCTCAGCAAGCTGCATCTATGACAGAATTCTATTGGCTTGGTCATAGATTTCCAATTTCGAATGCGAAGACTCGGGTTTCCATACTGAAAGGTCAGATTTAGTCTTGTTATCTTTTATTTTCCTGTTGTATGACACGTGTTAAGCTTTTTATGGTTGATTGCATTTTTTTGATAATTATTTCTAGTTTTCACCTAGAATGCCTTTTAAGTGTTGTTTTGAGTAAGACTGAACGGAGGGATTGGATATAATCTCACTTTTGATTGTTGCATCTTTATGTCATTTATTTTGCCTGCGAATGCATCCTTCTTGGTTGGAGTTGATGACCGCTTTAGTCTTGCATCATTCATTTTGCAACTGCCTCAAGCGCTGTTTTTGTGTTACAAAATATGTTCAGCTCAGGAGCTGGAAAAAGATATCAATGGTCCAGCAGCAGATTCGCTTCCTGCAGAGAAAAAACTTGTATTATTTGACAGAATTTTTTCTGCCTACAATGAAGCCAGGAGCTACATACGCAATGATTTGGTGAGAACGGCTAGTTACTGTGGTGGTTTCTTTTGTAATTTGTCACACGTATTGGACATGGCATCAGATTTCTATCACTTCTTTTGAAGAGTCTGGCTCAGTAATTTGTTTGCTTTAGGTTACCACAGGTAATTCTGAAAAAATGAAAGATGATCTGAGTGGCCTCGATAAAGCTGTTGGTGCTATCTTAGGACAGCGAACAATTGAGCGTAATCAGTTGTTGGTGAAAATAGCCAAAAGTAAACTCAGCAAGCTTCATGTCGATAAGAATGAAAAAATAACGAAGCCTGAAGAACTTGTCCGGTTATACGATCTCCTACTACAGGTGAATGTCCATCATATTTTTCTTCTACTGTAAATTTGATATTTCTAAGTATAAACAAAGATACTTTTGACGAAAAATGAGCTCTAGGAATAGCAGTAAGCTTGGTTATATGCATATTCTGACAGAACTTACTTTTCTTTCTGACAGAATACTGCCGATCTTTCTGACTTAGTTAGTTCAGGGCGAGATAGAAAACCAGAAGAAGTGGCATTTGCTGAGGAATGTGAACTCAAAAGTTCTGCCTTTCGAGCAGAAAGGTTTGACCCTTGTCATTTCCTTATGCTTTAGGCCCTTCCTTTTCCTTGGCTCCTTGCAGACATCACTTTAGATTATATAATTCTCTTTTGGGTCCAATTTATTCACTACTAAATTTGTTTGGATGAACATACTTTTACCATTTCTAATTGATCCATTTTTGCGATCTATCATTTGTCCCTTGTATTGTAAGATTTTAGGCAGCTTTCTGGAACAACTGCATTGTTCAAGTGCATAGTAGGTTGTGTAGTCTTATAGCCTTCGGGGGACAAATATTACTAGTTTGACATTGACACTCTTGTTCGCATATAGTTTGTTATTTACTTTTGTTGCCTTTGGATAGTTCTCATGTCTCATTTTGCTGAACTTTTGTTTCTAGTTTTGGTCTCTGATATTCCTTTTGCATGGTATGATAACTCCAATATCCAGCAGTCTCATCTGTCTTACGTTAGTGATCATGTCTTTCTTTGGCATTTCTTTTGTTCGTATTAGAGTGTTTTCCAAATGTGTGATCAATGTGAACTTGGGTAAACTTAGATAAAGCTTCCTTATAATTTTTGCAGATGCTTTTACTTAGCTAGATCTTACAGTTTGGCTGGAAAGAGGACTGAAGCTTACGTTTTGTACGGCAAAGCTCGCTCTCTGGCTGACACTGCCATTAAGAAGCTTCAGAGTTTAACTAATGCTGACGAGGTGTGCAGGTTTCTTATCTTTAAAATACTGTACATCTGTTTTATGTGTTGTGCATTATAACTCCTACTTATTTCAACAATGGCCTGTTGTTATGCTCTGCTACTTTTTTAAATTTATATCCAAAATATTCCTCTGTTGGCTCATGAGGCAGACCATATGTAGTTACAGAACCATGTGGGGAATCCTTTTCTCACTGGTATTATTTCTCACTGGTATTATTTTCTGTCAAAATATGTACCCTTATATGCCACTTGTGGATTGTGTTTGAAATAATAACTTCCAATTCCCTGAAAACTTTGCTTGGACTCTCTTCATCTCATGTCTCGGGTTTTCATCACTCTTACCAGGTAATGATCAAGGAGTTGAAGATGCTGTATCAAGAATGTAGATCCAACAGCTGTATAGAGCATGCAACAGGGATTATGGAGGAGAATAAGGCTCCGGAAAATCTTTCGAAAAAGATTTCGAGTATATCATTAACTGGAAATGATAAGAAGGTATCGCATATAGCTTTCCCCTTCAATGTTTCCTTGAGCAAATTAAATCGCACATAATTGAATCCAGGTGTACCTTCTTGACGGCTTTACTTGTGTGCCACAACAAATGTTTCAAGAATTAGTAGCTTTTCCTCAATTTAATCTTCTTCACGGGAAAACCTGCCGAGTAAATGCTGGTCTTAATCCGTGGATGTCAAGTCTAGTAAATTTGTTCTGTCACCTTTATATAGCACGATAACTATGATATTAAATCTCATTTGTTATTCATTCAGGTTTCCTTGTTAGTCACTCACTCTCTCCCATTGTGCATGCTTGCCTGCGGTGTCTCCAATATCTATGCATGTTAAATATTGTTCCTATTCCTTTTCAAAATTAAAGAAAACGTCTTTTAATGGTTGCGTTGTACGCTGATCTCAGCTGGAGAAATTGCTTATGGAGAACTTGGACTCTTATGAATCAGCCGTGGGTGATCCCACTACAAAGTCAATCCCGCGCATTGAAGCCTTTCCACCTGCTTTTCAAGCTGTTCCTCGTAATCCAATCGTTATCGATCTTGCCTATAATGCAATTGATTTCCCGTCTCTCGAGAACCGGATGAAGAAAGACAAAAAGGGATTCATAAGTAGGCTTTGGAGATGAATTATACCAGTTTTGATAGTCCTGGATTTTAGAGCACCCGTTCAAGTAGTTGCGATCTTGACAGTTTTTACAAGTGTAATTTCTCTCACATTATGGACAATGTCTTGAATACTTTGTAGCAGCAAATTTTTATTGCAAACCTAGGGATAATTTTATACGTTGGTGTGAAACTTTTACTTCTTTCATCCGGAATTAAAGAAACTTTATGTGGAACAAATAGTTTTCTGATTTGTTTTTAATCTCTCCTGATTGCAGCAATATGAAAGAGAGCTCAAGTTGATGAAATTTGTATTGCATAATTATATATAACATTACTCTTATATGTTTTATATCTACCTTTAATAGTGGCTTTTTAAAAGATCCTTTCTCTATTGTGATAGAATGTGTGGATATTTATCCAATTTACCTCATTTTTCGTGGTGAAGAAAGTTTTTTGGAACCCTGTAGGAATGAAGAGGGGTTAAGGCTATTTTTCTTAATAGTGTTTTTGAGACTCTAATCTCGTCCCTAGATAAGGTAGGTTAGTGCATGTTTAATATTAAATTATAAAGTAAGTTAAAATTATTTCATAGTGTTTTTCGAGACTCTAATCTCGTTCCTAGATAAGGTATGTTAGTTCATGTTTAGGAAGTGATTAAATTATAAAGTAAAAATTATCTTGCCAAGTCTCACTTTTCATAATTCAGTATTGTCCTATTCGAATTCCCTTAAAACCACTGAGGTGAGTACATGACCGTAAACTTCAGGGTCTCGTAGGATTAGTCGAGCTGCGCGTAAGCTGACTCGGACATCCACACAAAAAAAAAAAAAAAAAAAATCAATATTGTCACTTTATTTCCTTTTTTTATTCGAGTTTTTTTTTCCCAAATTAGTGTTGTCATGTACGCTACAATGTAAAATTATTGAATTTTCACAGGTAAAAGCATGTATCATCATCCACCGAATTTTGTAGGTAAAAATGCCTCATTTATTTATGGAAATTCGCAAGCGAAAGCGCTGTGTCATTATCTACCAATATTTCATTAATAGATTATTGATGTATAAGAAAGAGTGTATATCAATGATGGTATTGACGTTGTCTCAAAGGGCACGCTAGTTCAGGTCTTAGGGATTTAACTATTTGAGTTTCCAATTTGAGATAGGCTCCAACTTTATAATATGGGATTTATGGGCTTGAAATAGATGAGTATAGGTTTTAATGAAAGAATTAACGTCGTTTGTTCCCACTAAGCCTAAACTACTTAAAGATTCGGGTCCTACAGGTACATGGTATTGGAGATTATCTGGCGTACACATTTTAAATCAAATGGCAGCAGAATCAAATTTGCTAATCTTACAGTACATTTTCTTACTAGTTTTATCTTGCACTTTCTGGTGATAAGTAAGATCAACGAGAGTCTTTTGTTGATGCTGAATTGATCAAGTCTGGTTTTGTATTTTCGGTCCCGATATGGCAAAAGCTGCAGTTGCTTCGAGAGAAGTTGGAACTTACAAGGAGATTCTTCGATCACAAGTGGAAATTTTGTTAGCTGGTGGAGATATATCCTCATAAAATTTAATTGCTCAACAAATTTACTTGTTTTCTTTGATTGTATATTAAAGATATACCAGGCAAGCCAGCACCGTGAGAAATAAATGAAGATGTTGCTCATTTTCAAAAATCTGGATTTTGAAAGAGACAGCGTGATAGAGATGTGCTCTCTATACTTGCAATCTGTAATATAATTCTTGCTGAGATTTTAGGTTACAGTTTTTGGTGTACTTAATTGTTCACTTATTTAAGAATGAGAATGATATTAGTCTTGCAAAATGGAGGTAAAAGCAGATGTAGGATTGCTGAAAATAAATCATATTTAGTGAGATTATGTTTGGTAAAAAATAAAAAAGTTATTTATTTTGATTTGAATGTAAGAATTGCTTTTGAAAAAAAGTAACTTCTTAAATTGAAATTAATTTATCTAGACATGAAAGTTACATATAAGTAATTTATATTTATAAAACTTAGGCAAGCATGCTCTTATTGCAAATTCAGATTCAGATTAATAAAAATATTGTTTGTTTTAAATTTTACGTATAAACAAATTTTTAGGCTGAGCCAAATATGTTGTTAAGTGAAAAACTGACAAAGTCGTGTTTTTGGGTTATACAGCTAGGGAATTGTTTAGTAAAGAGAAGTCGTTAGTTGAGTAAATGGGTTTGTTTAGTCCCACATCGGATATTGAAGTTGGAGACGAGGGGAGGAGTGGCTATAAAATGAGCCGACCATTCATTTATTCAAGCACGCAGCCGTGCGGTGAGCACAAAGCGAACTATTCTTTCGCCTTTTACTAAAGAATACCGTGTGCTCGCCGCAATTCAGCGGCATACGCCTATTTTTGGAGGGGTCTCTCCCAGTGGGAGTGCCCCCAACAATTCTAGTCTTAATGATTTTCTGTTCTCCCAGCGCCTTCTACTCTGGTGCGTATTAGCGGGAGAGATGGAGTTTCCAACTAAAGGATGCTTTAAGAATTTGCTGCTATAGATAGGAGCTTAGAGATTTTGTTGTTGGGCTCGACTTTTTGAGTTTTTAACGATACGTTGGGAGTTTCGTGTATGGGTTGTTTGCCAATGGATATAGAGATGAAAGTCGTGGATGATGGGTGGTATGTGAATGGATATAGAGATGAAAGTAGTGATGACGTTTTGGGTCATTGGACACGTTTTCACTCAGGAAGAAGCCAAGTTTCTCTCAATTCTGATTCAATTTCCATTTGAGAATTTGGAGTTGGTCGGAAAAGGAGAAGGGTAGGATAGGGTAGGATGGCGATAGAAATTTTTAATAAAGGTAAACTTTAGTATTATGTTGGAACAAGCAGTAAATTAAAACATACAACAGATTTTTCACTCAAAATGATTAGTCCATTGAGCATTCATAAACATGATTTTTCACTCGAAAGGATTAGACAAGCATATCCATAAACGTCATTAACACACTAAAATCCAAGAGCACAACCTAGAGTGTTACAAGTACACAAATATACCAAGTTTTCTTCCAGAACCCTTAGAAGAACCTCCGAAATTACACCAAGCAAATTAAAGATTTCTCCTCAGTTACTGTTACGATAGTTAGGCTCTTCTCACTTTGATTAGCAACACAAAAAAAGACTTGGTGTTTATAACATGATTACACTCTTTATCCGTATTCAAGTAGCCTATGTTCTCAACACGACTGAAAAAGGACAGCAAAGGTCCCAAGGAGTGTAAATTCAATGGCAATGATCAGAGAAAGCAAAGAGAAAAATGCATAAAATAAATTCAGAAGGAAATAAACAAAATGGACATTAAAGGATATACCCAAATTGGATGTACTTAGTCCAAATGTAACACTAAGCCTATGTTTGGCATAGGTTTATAAAATGTTTATTAACACTCAAATCACTTTTTATCCACATTTCGAGTGATCCATTAGTATCTAATTATCCGCTACTCATTTCTATCTATTTGTAATTTAAACCATTTTTAAAAACCTGTTTTCAGACATCTCATTTTTGTCCAAGTCTAAAAACCATCTCCTTTGCATCCCAAAAAGGATGAGAAAGCTATAATGAACATAGCATTCAAAAGGTGAAATAGATACCAAATTGTTCAAACTTTAGTGCCTCGGGGCAATCTCTTCAAACAAATGAAAAAAAAAAAAAAGGTAACTTGATCAATGTAAATGGAAACTAAACACTGGCAGACTCCATAAGCAAAGTACTTTCAACTGGTTCTGTTTTTCCATAGGATTGTTCCTCATTAAAAATATCACACTGCTGCATCATCGATCGACATTCGTACACTTCAGTGTAAACGAATCCTTACACCATCCCATGAAAGCCTGCAGAATCCAGGAGTACTGCTTTGATTTGGTCTGGATGGAGGTCTTGACCTTCTTTGCATTGCTGATGTAACATTGGAAGACAACAAAAATCAGAGAGAGAAAAAGACAATTTTGATGACAATCAGTAATCAAAAGAGCTCTCGGGGACAGTAACCCATCCCCGCGGTTGAAATTTTTGAAAATTTGTTTCTTTAGGAAAAAATAATTAAAATATAAAATTCTCAGCTCATCCTCGATCAGATAAATGTACAAGAATAGACCTTGTTAAAAAAAAACTCCAGTCTCAGTGTGTCTTGTGCTCCCAATTGATTGGCGATGAAATTAATTTCTCCACTATCCTTCTAGAATAGTATTATATTTCTTAAGAACTATAACTGCGCTAGGCTTTCAACAAAGATAAAAGTTCTAATACATTGATTGATTAATAGAAAAATTAATATCTCCATTATCTTTCTAACGTAGTACTGTTTCAGGTACCAGCCCTGTGAAGGGGGAGGGAGCACAGGGGTGTTCAAATTTGAAAGAAAACAAGCTTTACCTCAGCTCGAAAGATATCCAATGCAAACCCATTGAAACAGCTAATCACAGCTTGTTGGATGTCTAGACCAAGGTTATCCAGAGCCCTCATAGTGGAGAGCAGAAGGCCTGGTCTGCGCCCACAAAACATGTGAATATTTACTGCTCTCCCTTCTCTTAGCCTTACCTCGACCTACAAATATGGAATTCATTAACTTCAAACACGCTCCACAAGGAATTTTTCAATGCCGATAGGCATTCTCATCATAAATACTCGAGAATCCAATGTAAAAAACACTCAAATAAATTTGTAAAAATAACAAAGATTTTTAAAAGATTTTGCAACTAAATAATGAAATCACCCTCGTCGGTTGTCCCGTTGGGCTAGATAATGGACTTGCAAATGCACTTGGGCACAGTTCTTCTTTGATTCGACAAGGAATGCCTGGTGTTGTAGGCGTCAAAGGATAGAAGTTTGAGAGCGGAGACAATGAAGAGCTAGAAGGGGTGGACTCCAGTTCATTTTGGAGGTCATTAATCTTCTGTAGCAGTTCCTTTAAATATTCAATTGCATCTCCTAGTATTGATGCCCTGTCCATCTGTCAAAACAGAAGAAAGACATAGGTGCAGAAGCAGTTACAGAGGGCAAAATAAATTTCAATGCCACAAAAGATGGATAGATTGATTACCAAAATACCCATTCATCTCATGACCTAGACTGTCGGCATATCCATGGATCCTTAATAAAGATATTTCTTTTGTCATGCAATAAATTAAGTATACACGTATTACTTCCTCTTGATTTTCTGAATATAAGATCAAGTTTTAACTCTTTCTCAAGGCTTTGATCTGAAGTAATTGTATATGGGAACTAACTATTGACTAACATAGCTCCATATATGCACTTTCCTAATGCGTGCGTGTTCATGAACTGTTAGTTAAGCAGTTAGTTCAGAAGATGTCAGACTACAGAGTAAATTTTCCATGGAGATACACTTCGCCATAGGTTTTTGTTATGAACTATGAAGCTATTCAACCTTATTAGGGAATGCATGAAAACCATATTGTTAATCTTGAATATATTTTAGTAATTACTCGAAGGAAAATAATAAATTTAAAAAGTATTTTCATACAGTAAATTAGGAAATCGGTATATACTAACATGCTCCCACTAATAACTAAAAGATGTGTTATTCTTGTTGTACATGATTTTAATGTAACAAAATAACAATATGAGAACAGAAAGATCTTTTAAAAGTTAAATTCAAGATAGCGTGCAAGACGAGTGACTAGAAACTCGCTTGTGAGACACGTGCGATAGAAACGAACGTGCAAGACACATGCATCAAAAATGGTTATCTTAAAAGCTAGGACGAGATGAAAATAAAAAGTCGAAAGAGAAGAAATAGGCAGTGAGAAAAGGATAATAAAGAGGGATGGGACCTGAGGCTCGTTAAGAGGTTACAAATTACAGGAGTATAGATTCAGAAGTACAAAATTTATTATCTTGTTCAAAATGTCGTTGAAGAAATAAATTCTGAAGTTCATTATTTTAATTTAGTAGCTTTCAAATGAATCCGATCTGTGGTCCAAAACTCAACACATTTTGAAATCAATTCATAGACTTCATGTGAGTAATTTAATGCTATCATACGACTTTATTACGCGAGCAATTTGAATACCTACGCATATCAAAATATTGCTACTCATCAATGATATACACAAAAATAGCACACGACATTGAACAAAATTAAAATTTGAAAAAGAAAACCAAGAACAAAGAATGGATGAATGCGAATGACTAAAACATGTCGATAACAATATGGCATAATTCACGAGAAATTTCTCTAAGAAATCCATACCTTGCTAATCTTTGGTACAACAGACCTCAGCAAGTAAAGCCTGTCATTGAGCTTCTTCCTCCGGCGCCTTTCAGCCATCAAATTCTTCGCCGGAAGCCCCTTCTTCTTACCCTTTTGATCCCCACCACTGCCCGTGACAGTACTATTAGCATTTGAGCTGTTCCCACCATTTTTACCAGTATCATCCACCTTATTGACAGTACTATTCTCCAGAAATTGATCATCAGAATCATAATTCAAATTGGACCCATCAATGCTAAAATCCTCTCCGTCATCCCCGCTACTGTTTTTCCTCTTCCTCTCATTTACATCACTCAATTCCCCCTTCTTGTCATAGCCTTCGAGGCTAGTTGAACTTCGAGAATGATTGATTTCATCTCCTAAATTCAAAGCCCCCAAATTGCTGACACTCCCACTAGCAAGATTCTTCCTTAGAGCAGCCCTTTTTTGAAAGAGAGTGGGTTGTGCTCCAACTGAAGCAAAATCATCAAGTGGCTTCAACATCTTAGACCTGTTAAAGAACAATGGATTCCCGTTCATGGAACCCTCCCCAAAACCCAGTACACCAAAACCGCCACTGGTTTGAGGCAGTTGAAGCAAATTACTAGTTGAAAACTGAGGGTTCGAGCTTAAATTAAGAGCGCCCATTTGGGATTGAGTACTTAAATCATTGAAAGCAGTATTCAGCATCCCAGTTCCCCGGTTTAAAGCACTTTCAAGAAAGCCATTATCACGACCCAAATCAAATGTCCCCTCTAAAAGATTGTTGTGAATTGGATTCATGAGTGTAGATTTTTGTGGCAGAAAATAGTTTAACTGATGAGATGGATCCAAAGAATTGAGAACTGAAGCAGATGTTGGTGAGCATGAAGCAGAAGAATCCACCGAATGCAAAACCAGCTGATTATTATCAGCGTCAGTAAAATTGGGTGAAAAAGAGATGTTACCCAGATCATGATGGCTGCCGCCATGCATGTTGATTTCGTGGCTGTTGGCGGCGGTGGCCGACATGTACCAGTCGGCTTCATTTTCAGCTTCGAGCATAGATTTGAATGAAGAAAGTGCACCAAATTCTGTATCATCTTTATTCTCCAAACCACCACTGTTATTGTTCCGAGTCCACGAATTTGTTTCTTCCACTTCTTTGTTTCCATCCATCCACTGCATACTATTAGTTCTTGACAACATTCTGCTCTCCCTCGCTCTAGAAATTCTTGAAAATATATTGAAAGAAAGAACTGATTTTGATATATAGAGAGAAAACGAGGTGGGGGCGTTAAAGAAGTGAAAAAAGCGTTAGAGCTTTATGCAAGAGAGTTCTTATAAGGGTGAGGCAATGTGATAGATAACGCCAAAAGCTTCAAATGTAACGTTTCAATGGCTGCTATGTAATCATTACAGGGTGGGATGGGTGGAGAGAGAGTGTATGTATATAACGTGATGCATGAAATATGAACATTATATGGCTTTTTATGGAATTTCTGAGTTGAGTTTGTTGAAAAAAGAACAAACTTTCTACTGCTTTTTGTTAGGTTCATCTCTCTAATTAGGATGCAAGTAATCATTACATACAACTATGGTTACTAGGATTTAGTGTAGTGTGTGCCTCAAGAATAATGTTACTTATCCGCACTGGTACGAATACGATGATGTGTCGTGAAATGATAAAGCCAACCGAATAATAATGACACGTAGCACCAGTGATGTTATTAAGTCCCCAATTGGCGCGACTTAAAATTTTGATAAAAATCGAAATCAAAATAAAAATCAACAATTAATTTTAATGACATATCTAACAGGATTTACAATATTTATCAACTTTACAAATACATATTTCATCTTTTTGAATCAAAATTAAATAAAAAGCTTATTTTTAGCTCCGCCAAACATGGGCTTAATGATATATCTAAGGGTGAAAAATGGGTCGAGCCATCTAGTGAACTGGTTAGACTCATTTTGAAACAAATTATTGATCGAGACAAGTTCACTTTTTTTCACATGCTTATTGGTATGAACCGACAAGTACTCGTGAGTTGGCATTTTTTTTTTCTCATTTTTGGATTTTTTTATTAATTTCTTAAACAAAATTGTGTATTTTTGGGCTTATTTGGTTAATTTATTTTTTTAAAAAAAACATAGCATTACGCTTTCAAAAAAATTCAGCTCTTAAGAAATAACCAAGCAGTGAACAAAATGGTTTGTTACTATACAAACAAAAGTCAATTGTTTAACTTCTGAACTATAAAATTTTATAGGTGAATGTTATATTTGTTTGTTTGTGCCAATGAATGGACCAAAAAAAAAAAAGGTATTTCTCAGTAGTGAATGTTATATTTGTTTGTTTGTGCCAATGAATGGACCAAAAGCAAAAGTTGAAGATATTTGTCATGTGTGAGTATGTATTTCTAACAAATATTAGGTGCGCCCACTTAGGTATGGAATCCAAATTGACGCATTGATTTACGTCCGTATGAGTAGATAGATTTTGATACATTGATCTTGACAACACATTTTCCAATCAACTTTCAGATTTTTGACACATAGGGAAGTGTCAATGAATGTGTACACTTTGTGTGTATAAACAACTTGTACCCACAGTGTATATCTTTATGTACATGTAGCGTGATCCAATCCTCAATTTTTTTATTTTCTTTTAATCTAATTTAAGGCAATATATACACCCTAGTTGCTCTGACAGTTTAACCTAACTGTAATAAATATATATTTATCTGTTTGAAACTTTGAAAAACAAAGGAAGCAGGAATCTCGTGAAATATCAATCACGATCTTAATTCTCTGGGCCTACATTTCAGTGGCCTCTTTTTTTGTCAGGATTTGGTTTCCTCCTTCTTTACGAGGCTAAACGCCTCAACCTCACACTTGTCACAGTAAAATCGACATTCACCCATATAATTACCACTGATACAAAAATATTGAAAATTTAAAATAAAATAAAATTTTACTTGGTAAGATGTCTGATTGAACAATTGTGCAGAAAATAATAGAAAAGCAACCGATAACGAGTTTGAACATTCACGTTCTTCTGAACCCTACCCACCGCTTAAATGAACCAAAGTCGTCGATTTAAAAACACGATTTTAACAAATCTCAGTCAACCGTTCAACATTAGTGAGGCAGCCCAACTTCAGTCATTGAATTGGCTTCGCCTTTTAACAATTACCGAAACAATTATGATTAGATGCAAAAGAATGAATAAAGATGTAAAGTAAATACTTCAATAATTAGGCTGAGTTGCAAGAATTTTTCTCTTTCTCGAAGAGATTTGAGTCCTCCGTGTTACGCCGATCAAAACAGTAAACATAAAATTGTTCATGGGAATCAATTGTCAAACCATGCCAAGGCGACTACACCTTTTGTTGGCTCGGCCAAGATCCCCGACATGGCTTGGAACGAATTGTAACTTAGTCTATCCAGTTTGTAGGGATGACCAGTGTCACGCCAGCCTCTTCAAGCATGTGAATTAAACAAATATTGTACATTCACAGTTGTATTTAGGTTTGATTTGGTGTTGCCGTACTTTTAAGAGAATCCGTTGCAGTTGTTGTGAAAAAATAATTAGTTGTCAGAAGAATTCGATAAATGTTTACTTTTCAATATTGTTGTATGTTTCAAAAACAACATATTTGGATGTTCGGTAAATAAAGCGATTTATTGTTGTAAATTAGTTCTTTCATATTATTATTCATTTTTACTTTTTTTAAAAAAGTAAGTAATATCATCAATTGTTTTTTAAAACAATGTATTCAATATAATTATTTTGAATAAAAAATAACATCTATTAAATATCAAAATTTATAAAATAACAAAATATGCATAATTTATATAATAAAAAATTTCAAATAAATTTAAATCAAACTTGCCGCATTAAGTTTTCTCAAATTCTCTATGTTCGTTTAATGAGAAAAAATATCAAATAATGGAAGATAATTTATTGTAGGAATAGTAATAAACTCAGGACATAAAAAGAATTACTTTAATTATTTAATAACGAATAAATAGAAAAGCTAAAAGCTAATATGAGAATCTACCATTTCATTGCTTCTCAAAAATTTAGATTCTTTCATAACCATTTTTTTATTATCAAAAAAATAAAAAATAAAAAAAATACCAAACACCTAAACAACTTCTGATCTATTGAAATGAGATGATGGCCTCTAAAATCAATCACAACGAGCTTTAGCGTATTAGTTTACATTTATATCAGACCGTATTATACTCTCTTGTAATATGTGTAACCTATAATGTTACGTATGTAGCCCTTGTTTGACATACATTTTTTTTCGAACTATGCTACTTGTACAATGAATTTGACAATAAATTTGACAATGTATGAGTTGGCAGACATTATGTCCATTGATTTGAAAGATTATTTTTGAATGCAACGGCAATGATCTATACACCTCACACATTGTCAAAATAATTGTGCAAATTCATTGTACAAGTAGTTTAATTCTTTTTTTTCTCATTCTCATTCTCTTTCTTCATTTCAACCACACATTCTATCAATAAAATAATATTACATTTAAACCCAAAAATTTTCCTTACTTTTTAACCACACATTCTTTCATCAATCACTATTCCAAATCAAATTCTTCTCCAAAATGGGTGTCAAACAAGGGCGTAATATATCATGTTACACTTTTTTTTGGTTTGTTTTCACCACCGTCATTCATGCCCATTAGAACCACATAATAAAAAACAATGAACATTTAGATTGATTACATCCAATTTCAAGAAAAAAAAATTGTGAAGATAAAAAAGAGAATGGTCGTGAAATATTTTAATACAATTAAATCAAATTTTAATTTGAATTGCCATGTACTAATTAGTTTAAAGTAGACTAATTGAGGCATAAATGTAAATAAGAATAAATAAAAGAATCGTAGCTTTCTAATTTTCGGTTCCTTATTGTTGTGATTGTGTAACTGTATTCACATTTTTTTGTAACGCTAACAATTACAAATTTACAAGTGTCGATTAACAAGAAGATGTAAGCTCGTTGCATTACGGACAAAACGTACAAAATCTGGTTTACATCATTCCCCAACATATATTACGTTTACCGTATTGTACAATATAAAAAAAACATTATTTACCTTATCCAAAAAAAAGTATTGTACAATATTTTGATGTTTAATCTATAGAAACTTCGAAATAGTTGTATATAAAGCGTGAAAATCAACAATTGCATATTCATCCATTTGAACTTATTATATTTTTTAATGACAAAAGGTTCAAAATTGGTCCAATTCATCGGCCGAATCCATGTCTTTTGACTCCTTGTCCTTGTTATTATGTTGTTTAAATTTTGAAAATTGCACTTTTGGTCATCAACGTGTTGCCTCACTAATAAGTTGGTCCTTATCATTTAAAAAGGAACAAATTAATCTCCAACTAATCATTATATTTGCTCACAAGTCTCAGACAACTCGAATCTATATTAATTCATCACATGACCATCACAGTCCAATTTTATGTACTCAAATTTACTTCACAACTTAAACTTGCTATAAATATGAAGTGATTCATGTGTTTTAAGAAGCAACGTGACAATTAAATGAAGATTAAACAATTTAACAACCGATTGTGCAACTTTTACAAAAGCATGTGGACTAAGTTGCTCTTTTCTTGAAGATTGAAACGTAATTTTCTAATAGATTAATCGGAGATTTTTATCTCGTGATTTTTTGTAACTCTCATCCTACCGTTTTCATTTTTAAGGTGCCACAGAGAGATTGCGTGCAAGCTCTATTATGATTTGACTGTCAACTAAGTAATTTTTGTCATTTTCTGAGATGACAAGCGAATAAATTACAGAGTGGTGGAATTTAAAACTAAATTGAAATTTATTAACTTAATTGAGACAAATTAAAGTTTTGTTGCACAATTGAAATTTCACTTAAAATTCAATGCTCCGACCGATTTCAAACCATGGATATATGAAACACATTACCTATATGTAACTCACATCCACAGTTTTTATATATTCGTCCCTACTAAAATATTAAATTTTTTAAATATTACTATTGTTATCCACGTCGCATTCCAATATTATCCTTATTAAATTCAGTAATCTAAAATATGTATATCCACACAAATTTTATATATTCATCTCACTCTAAATACATTCCTAATACAATTTCAAAATTTTAAAAAATCACTATATTCATCCCCATTATATATAACATCAACCTTTTTACAATTCAATAATTAATTCTATAGACTAAATATTATATTCAAAATTAAATTAAATATCCCGTGGGTATATTATGAGCCACATGAATTGGTCCGTTATATTTGATTGAACATAATGCCCAGAGTTAATTTAAGAACTTAAAGGAGATTATCTTTTCAAGATTTTTATTACTTATTGTGGTTGTTCAATGATCATATTCTCCAATAAGCTACGGAGTAAATCCAGAATTAAATCTCAACTTTCATCTTTTAGTTTAAAATAAAAATCTTCTAATGATATTTTTTACCTTATTGTTTTAATTTTAGTTGAAGATGATATTTGATGATTATTAGGGTTTTATGATTTTAGTAGAATATGATATTTTATGATTATTAGAATTTTCCTTAAATACAAAATCTAAAAGAATATCAAAAGATTCAAAAGAATCAAAGGATTAATTTAGAGCAATATATTTTTATATAATTTTATACATTTCAGCTAACCTCTCATATATATAGACTTTGATTCTTTTTACACTTTTTCTGGCTACCGAATAGTCTTTCTTCACTGTTATTTTTTTTTAACTAAGGTGAATATTTTAGCATTCGAACCTTTTTCTTTTTTAGCATATATGAATTGGAGCTTTTTTTGTTTTTTTGTTTTTTTTTTGCATTGGCTTTTTCGTGCGTTAAGTGTTTAATTTGTGGTTTATGTTGTGAAACTCTGGTCTTTACGAGTAATTTGTTGAAGATTGTAATTGAAGTCTTATTGTTTATTGAATTGAAATATTTATGTTGGTATTTTCATTTTTGAAGACGTCAAATTTACTTATCCCATGCAAACAATTAGTTTATTTGAGATTTGTGGTTGCATACCTAATTGTTTGGCTCAATAATAGCGCCCACTTCTTATAGGCAATGTGTCTGTCTGATCATACTATGAACGAAACCAAACAGTTTGGATTTGGTACCTTCCGGTGAACAGATACAAAATATACACCTTTTTGTGTAGCCAAGACGTACTGCTTTTGTGAATGATTACTGTATAAGTAGTCAAGTGATTAGAAAAAAATAGCGGATAATGTTGGCCATTGTTTTATGTCAATCTCAGAGTTTGATGTGTCAAGTTCAATTTTTCACGCACAGAAATGTATAGTGATCTTTGTGTTTCATCCCAGCTGTCTAATTGTAATTGTATTTATGCAGTAGGCAGACATGGCTGGGGCTTTAGTTCAGTCAACCGGTTTACCTTTTTCAGTTACCAGTGCAAGGAACGGACAGTGGAGTACTGAAAAAACCAAAAGAACAGTGACAGTGCTATGTAACTTACAAACAACTTCCTTAAGGATGAGTAGTTTCTCAGGACTGCGAACATCTAATGCATTGGACTTGTTGAAACAAACTGGCCAGACACTGCAATCAAAGATAGCAATTGTCACCTCTTTTAACCGAGGAAGAAAAGGCCGAATTGCACCACGAGCCATGTATGAGCGCTTCACGGAGAAAGCAATTAAAGTTATTATGCTTGCACAAGAGGAGGCAAGACGGCTTGGTCATAATTACGTTGGAACTGAACAGATTTTGCTGGGACTTATTGGTGAGGGGACTGGTGTCGCTGCTAAAGTACTCAAGTCTATGGGTATAAATTTGAAAGATGCTCGTGTGGAGGTGGAAAAAATAACTGGAAGGGGTAGTGGATTTGTGGCTGTGGAGATACCTTTTACCCCTGGCGCAAAGCGTGTTTTGGAACTCTTGCTAGAGGAAGCCCGCCAGCTTGGTAATTATTTTTCTCTTTCTTTTCGTGTGCGCATTTCCCCAATATGCTGTTAGAGTTTTTTCTTACTTGTGTGTGTTCTAGTTTTTTCATCATTGGATATCGAATGCTTTGCGTATAGCGTTTAGTCTGCAGTTTATGTGTACCTTTTATCTTTCTCCTCCTTGCTGAGGATAAGTTAAAAATATGCTGGTCATTTGCATTTTACTTTTATCATAAAGAAGACTTGGTAAATTTTGTAGAAGTCAAATTGGTTAAGTTTGATCTTTAATAAGATGTTAATTGATTACTTGTCGATTCAGGTCACAATTACATTGGATCAGAGCACTTGCTGCTGGGATTACTTCGTGAGGGTGAAGGTGTGGCAGCCCGTGTTCTTGAGAATTCAAGTGCTGATCCTAGTAATATTCGCGCACAGGCAAGCATTAGCACTTCTTTATGCTGTCTAATAATTTTTTGTGAATTTTATATCCTGACATCAATATGATCCATTTGGAACATAGGTTATTAGAATGGTGGGTGAGAGCGTGGAGGCTATTGGTGCAGGTGTTGGAGGGGGAAGCTCAGGAAACAAGATGCCTACACTAGAGGAATACGGAACCAATTTAACCAAGCTAGCTGAAGAGGTAATTTTCAATGTCTCACGGTGTTTATTAAATATTTCCTTTCATAGGGGCCTAATGAAAGCTGGGTTTCTTGCTTTTCTAGGGTAAACTAAACCCTGTGGTTGGAAGGCAAGACCAAATTGAACGAGTTACTCAAATTTTGGGGCGGCATACAAAAAATAATCCCTGTCTCATTGGAGAACCTGGTGTTGGGAAAACAGCTATTGCAGAAGGTCTAGCTCTGAGAATTGCCAATGGCGATGTCCCCAAGACAATTCAGGGGAAGAAGGTAAAGTGATACTGATACCTGAATGATTTGAAGAGAACTGTTTAACTCGTTAGCAGGTACATTTAGGGGTCAAACTTGGCAACTTCTCAAATATTTACAATGTTTGAATGTTGTTAATTGGTAGTGTGTAGATCCATAAGACTTTTAGAGAAGTTAGACACTATCTCTTTCTATATAGTTATGGATACCTAATTCTTTCTTTGGGGTTTTTCTCTCATCTTAATTCTGAATAAAGGCTCGTGCATGCACGAGCAATATTATTTCATACGTTGAAACATCAATCTGCGTTCCCTCCCCCTTTAGTTCTTATTTTTGACATTCATTATTTCTATGTTTCAGTACAAGATGGCTTGTTGTAGTAATGCCAAAATGCTGAGTACCTATTTGATTTTTCAAAATTTTTTTGAAGATAATAAATCTTCCACTTTGGTTCATTTCAGGTTATTGCCCTGGATATGGGTCGTCTTGTTGCTGGGACAAAATATCGTGGTGAATTTGAAGAAAGGTTGAAGAAGCTGATGGAGGAAATTAAACAGAGAGATGATATTATACTTTTTATTGATGAGGTGCACACATTGATTGGTGCAGGAGCAGGGCCAATCGATGCTGCTAACATCTTGAAACCTGCTCTAGTTTGGGGTGAACTGCAGGTTAGTCTGAGGTGAAATCATGAAATGCGGCAATTGGACACATTCAATTGTCACTGTAAAAAGTCTGAATTACTCCGTCTTATCGACATTATTTAAGAATATGACACACACAAAACGTTCGCTCTTTTAATGATGTCTGGAAAGTCATCTTCCTTTATATTGCTTCATTTTTTGTCCTCCCAGTTAATTGGTACAATGAATTTATATGCTTTTGATAAAAATCTTAAGGAAACTTATTAATTAATATAATTGCGTTTTCCTCCAACTTAGATCCTTAAGAATATAATTGTAATTGGTGTCAACTGATAACATATTTAAGAGAGGTTGCTTAAGTTGGTGTCAACTGATTTTTGTGTAAGGTGATTCAGGTACATTTACGTACTCTGAGCGAATAGATCCTTGTTGGATCTGTGGAGTCTAATATACAATAATTTATCCCCGCGATCATGGTAAGGTCGATGGGCGGTCGGGGTGGAACTTTTTTATGTGTCATAGGGGGTCTTTGAGATGTTTTCTGTTGCTCTAATATTTCCTCTAATAACTCATTTTAATAGAGAGAGATAGTGACGCACGAGTCTAAAGACACATTGTATTTTTTTCTAAAAGCAACGGTATTGGTTGGACATAGCGAATGATCCACTTGCAATCATGTATTTTTCTTGCTTTAGTTTTTTTCATGTTATTATTGCTCTTGTTTATATAGGATAAGCAATTAATTCATAAGAATCCTTACCTGCTATTGTCATAATGTCCATATCCCTTTTTTTTTCCATTTTGGTTATGAGACGTAAGCCTCATGGTTTTTTTAAACCATGGCTTCTTTAAAAGGTGACCTTCAAGTTGGCTTAGCTTCGCTCTGAACTGACTTTAATGGGAACATCTGGTATATCCCACCCTGTTTTAATTTATTGATAGATTTCAATCTTGTCTAAAAATATTTGCATACAAGATTTTGTGGAGTCATAATCATAATCATTCAAAATATCCTGCCAGAAATCAGAATAAGTTGGAATGGATTGAGAACTCCAATAGAATGAAAGAAAGGAAACAAAACTCCTGGTTCTCTGTGAAGGGTTGACAATCCTATCAAAGCATCTCCTGTTTCTCTTCCCATCTTCTATTAGTGGTCAGATTTGTTTTGTAAACATAATCATTTCTCAGTAGGGCAATGTTATGTAACATTTGCAGTGTATTGGAGCTACTACCCTAGATGAGTACAGAAAGCACATTGAGAAGGACCCAGCACTAGAGCGACGTTTCGAGCCCGTCAAGGTCCGGGAACCTACAGTGGATGAATCCGTCCAGATCTTGAAAGGGATTCGAGAACGATATGAAATCCATCATAAACTTCGTTACACTGATGAATCTTTAGTTGCTGCAGCCCAGCTGTCACACCTGTACATCAGGTATGCAGTTTATAGTACACGTTATTTGTATTAGTCACAGATTGGCACATAAATTTTCCGTTATCTTAAAGGAATATTACTCATTTTGGCACATGTTAATGATCTTCTGATCCTATGAACTGTCAAATACTGTCCCCTCCACTTTTTGGTGGTTGGACAGGATTGCTGATCACCAGTCTCTTCTCTGAATATTATTGCACGTTTCAGTGATCGCTTTCTGCCCGACAAAGCAATTGACTTGATTGATGAAGCTGGTTACCGGGTTCGACTCCGTCATGCACAGGTGTGGACACTTGGGGGTATTAATGCAATATTTCGTTTTCAGTTTACTCTATAATGACACTTTTATCTTTTGCAGCTCCAGGGGGAAGCCAGAGAGCTCGAGAAAGAGCTCAGACAAATCACAAAAGAGAAGAATGAGGCTGTCATAAGTCAAGACTTTCAGAAGGTAAGTAATATTTTATAACTCTACTCTTTGATGGTACAATGAAGTTAAGCTTTAGGATAGTAAGGACATATTTGGTAGGCTGGACTAACCGGGATGGGATAGGTTTGAGAGGAAGTTAAAATATTGTGTGTTGTCATGTGCAGTATGTTCTAATACTTTGCACCAAACATGTCCCAAATATCCTTTCAAATTTCAATAATGATGTCGACTCCAGTTTCTTATTTGCTGAGTGTACTACTTAGCACCCACTTTTGTCCAGTAAATTTTGACAGACCAATTCATGTACAGGCTGGGGAGTTACTTGACAGGGAAATGGATCTTACGGCACAGATATCTGCTCTCATAGACAAAAACAAAGAGATGGCCAAGGCAGAGAGCGAGGCTGGGGATGGAGGTCCTGTTGTGACGGAAGTTGACATTCGGCACATAGTTTCTTCTTGGACTGGCATACCTGTTGAGAAAATTTCTACTGATGAATCTGACCGCCTCCACAAAACGGAGGAGATACTTCACACTCGAGTCATTGGGCAGGATGAAGCTGTCAAAGCCATCAGTCGTGCAATCCGCCGTGCCCGTGTCGGACTCAAAAATCCTAACCGGCCAATTGCAAGCTTCATCTTTTCTGGTCCAGAGGAGCTTGGTTATATCCGAATCAAAAGCTTGGTAAAAGAGGAGCTGAAACAGTATTTCAGGCCAGAGTTTTTGAATAGATTGGACGACGTGATTGTCTTTCGGCAACTAACCAAGCTGGCGGTAAAGGATATAGCTTACATTATGCTAAAGGAGGTTTTAGAGAGACTGAAAGCCAAGGATACAGAACTTCAGGTGACGGAGAGGTTTAGAGATAGGGTGGTTGAGGAAGGATACAACCCAAGCTACAGAGCGAGACCACTTAGACGAGCTATTATGAGACTTTTGGAAGTCAGCATGGCTGAGAAAATACTTGCATCCGAGATTAAAGAAGGCGACTCAGTGATTGTTAACAAAATTGTTCTCAATGGTAGCAGTGGCACATCTCCCAAGCCAATTCCCTTGAAGATTGAACCATATTTGACCTATACAGATTTGTCGTTTTTCATTCTGATTTACTTTCTTGTTATTTCTTAGCTAACAAGCTCTTTTGAGTCCTTTTATGCACATTACAGTCGGTCACCAGAACTAGAGCATTGGTCTTACATTTGCAGAGATTTCATGACAAGAGGACATGTTGGATTTTTGGTTATAATAGACAGTTTTATTGCTTTCTATATGAGTAGTTTGCTTTTGGAGATTTTGAAGTTAATTGCATATTCATTTGGCTATCACATGTTCAGTTTGTTAGATTAGACACTGCACCTCAAATGTCTCTTTGCACTTACAAATATTTCGTCATATTTTCAATGGAACAAACAAGAAATTGGAGAATATAATATTCCTGTCGACGTGTGTTATACACAAGGTATTTCTTTTGTGCTTAGTCAAACATATATCTAAGCTTAAACTTGAGTAACTTTTTTTTCCATCGTGTTCGTCAATAAAGGTAAGAATATCTACTTTTACTTTATCTTAGGCTTAGCCAAACATGCTTTTTGCGACAACACGAGTCATGTTTTGTTACTCCTCTTGGTTTATTGATAGACCTATGAATAAATTAAAACCCTTTACGAGACAGATGTTCTGGGATGTTTATTAGGTTTCCAATTCTAAACTCTGTTTGGCTCTAGCAATTGAAAACCAAATCTTCTCTTGGGATGCTTCCCACAGCTGTTGTTCTTTTGGTCAGCTCCGTTAAACCCCTTTCAAGCGATTAAGGACAAAATTTAAATAAGATAAAATTACCCTCTCCTTAATAATTTAAACACTTAGTGGATTGTTCTAGAGAAGGAATGTTGAAGTAAAGTTGAATGTCGATTTTGAGCCAATGCGAGCACAACATCCTCAACCTTAAACCAATATAAACGGACAGGAATTTAGACAACAAACCAAACTGATATGGCTATTTCCTTAATCTTAAACATTGGTCGACTAATGTGCCTTTGGACAGAAATCGTCCGGAGGTCATTCTACCTTACAATTTTGAAAAGTTTGAGACGTATGTGCTACGATTTAAAGGGTTGGGACCTATCTGTACTTTTTCAAAAGGTTTGAAATCCCTCTGCAAATTTCTCTTCATTTTATCGGATTCTAACATATAAATTAAAATAATTTTTTTGTTAGTTCCTTTTAATTTACTGTCTTACAAGTTATTTTTTAACTTATATTTATCTCGACAAAATTTTCGGTTAGTATTTAATTTTATATTTCATTACGAATATTTTTTTTTTGGGTGATTTGAATTTGTTCAACTATTTGTGTTTAATATTACTAACTAAAGAGGTTTTCGTAATCTTTAATTTTTTTTTATTAATTCAACATAATTTTTGGAAAGAAATAAAGAAAAATATGTAAATTTTAAAAATTGAGGATCTTTGACAAACCGGCTATCCATTAATAATAAACTTAATCGACAAGTGACTATGGAGCAACAATATATAAATATAAATATAAAAATAAAAAATCACCACATTCCATTATTTGTTTTATATTTTTTTCAAAAAAATGAAAAAAAAAAAGTGTATTTCAACTAGTATATCGATTACGTTACATATGCCAAAGATATGTAGGAATCTGCCACGTAAGGAACCTAATCTATTCTATTGTGTTTCCTGGTCAGACACTGGGGTGACTCAGTGTCCACTCAATATTCTCTAATTTGGAATCTATTCCTGATTCCTCTCCAATTGGATCACTAGTATCGATCAATCCATTCCACAGATTATATATTTATATGAATTATAATTCAAGAAGAAAAATAACTTATAATTTTATTTATTATACTATCGACTCTTATTCAATACTCTGTATAAAAATTATGTCATATTCCTTTTTACTTAGATGAAACAGGTCAATACCAACCAATACCAGACTAGCGCCATTATATTTTTAGGTCAACACCTACCATTCATAACGCTGAATAATAATCTTCAAGGCAGAAGATACCATAATATAATTGGTAATTTTTCTCCATTTTAATTACTTAATTAATTTATATGTTTTTCCTTTACATTCTTGAATCCCATTTGTGTCTATAAAATAAACGCAATTTAGCATTTGTCCATTCACGTCTCTCCATTATACAACAGTTGGCGGCTCCTCCGAGTGAAAAGAAATCAAGAAAAACAAAAAGGGCTCGTAGTATTCTGGTTTCTATACAAAATGTCTCTGCTCAACGATCTCATCAACTTGGATCTTTCTGAAACTACTGAGAAAACCATTGTTGAATACATATGGTCAGTTTTATCAAGATTTTATTTTTCTGCAATCATTCTTTAGTCATTTGATGCTTGGTTTTAATTCTTTGTTATCTTTGTGTTTGTGGGCTTTTCTTGTATGTATGTATGTATATGCATGTTGATTTGATTTTTATTAATGGGTTTTTTTTCTTTTTTACCATGAATCACTTTCTTGACGCGTGTAATAATTTCCACAAACTTTGGAACTCTTGAATATCTGTTTCTTGCATTATCTTGATTATGGTATTTGTTTTATTCATCAAGGAGTGGACTTTTTTGATATGTATATATATTTTGCGTTAATCTTTGAACAGGATTGGTGGATCTGGGATGGACCTCAGAAGCAAAGCCAGGGTAATTGTTCTTGAATTAGAAGTAGTACTTGACGTGAATAAATAGTATAATCGAGAAAAATTTAACTCTTTTTTCTTGTTTAATACTGTCCGGTACAGTCAGTCGAGCAGGCCATAACGGTTGCATAGAAATGTATTGTCTTTTATTGTCCTAATTCTCCATGAAATTTGGTTAATAATTCTATTATATTATAAATCAGACTATCTCTGGACCAGTCACTGATCCTTTACAGCTTCCCAAGTGGAACTATGATGGTTCTAGCACAGGTCAAGCCCCTGGTAAGGACAGTGAAGTCATTCTGTAGTAAGTTTTCTTCACCTGTCCCTTCGTGTTCATAAGTATGTTTTCTTGGAAGGAACTTTCTTTTCCATGAATTATTTGTTTCCTAAGTGGATTAATATTAGTTTTCTCAACGTGTATTTAGCCCTCAGGCAATATTCCCTGATCCATTCAGGAGAGGAAACCACATACTCGTGAGTGCTTTTCTGCCTAGTACAATCTTCGCATCCTTCTTATTGTCATTCAAATATCTTTTTTGCTTTCGATATGTATACATAGGTGATGTGTGATGCTTACACTCCGGCCGGAGAACCAATTCCAACGAACAAGAGGTATAATGCTGCGAAAACATTTAGCCATCCTGACGTTATTGCTGAGGAACCTTGGTACAATCTTATCCCTCATATAGTAGTTTTGGTTATCTGGTGTCAAGATTCTTTAATGTATACGATGGAATTTGATCAAATAATTGAAATACAGGTACGGTATAGAGCAAGAGTATACTTTGTTGCAAAAAGATGTCAAATGGCCACTTGGATGGCCAGTGGGAGGATTCCCGGGACCTCAGGTATCACTAATGACGTTTTCCACTGCATAACTTTCGTCTAGTCTAATTATAACATGTAGGAAAATCCCCTATTTTCTATTGTCTAGCCTCCTATATTTCCCATAATCAAGATTTTTATGCATGTTGTGCCTGATTAATAGGGACCATACTATTGTGCCATTGGTGCTGATAAGGCCTTTGGACGTGATATTGTTGATGCTCACTATAAAGCATGTATTTATGCTGGCATAAACATTAGTGGCATCAATGGAGAAGTTATGCCTGGCCAGGTAAAAAGGGTTGAATTTTATGAGTTGAACTTTCCTCTACCAATGCAATTACATCAGGTTTTTCAATTTTTCACCTGATTGTTCCATTCCTTTCTGTCCATGGCACAGTGGGAATACCAAGTTGGTCCATCAGTCGGCATCTCTGCAGGAGATCAAGTATGGGTGTCCCGCTATATTCTTGAGGTACTTCCATTAGTCTGCCCAAGTATTTATCGCCTTTTAGAGTCGGAATGGCTTAAACTTTGTAAACCCTTGACTTTCAAATGCAACTTACAACAAGTTATTTGTGTTTGTGTTGACAGAGGATAACAGAGATTGCCGGGGTGGTTGTCTCTTTTGATCCCAAGCCTATTCCGGTTAGACCTTTGCAATTAAGATTTCTCTTCATTTGCACCTACTTTTTAGTCACAATAAATTTATACTTTCTAAAAAGATTTAATATCATGACCTAACATTGTGGACACTTGTTTTAATTCACGAATGAATACATTTTCTATGTCAGGGTGACTGGAATGGAGCTGGTGCTCACACCAACTACAGGTTAAAGTTCATAATAATTCTTTTTTTCCATCTAGTTTTTGCATATGCTCATATTCATAGCCCCTTTTTTAACTTTTTTGTCTAATGGTTCATATATACTTTGTTCAGTACCAAGTCCATGAGAAGTGATGGAGGATATGAAGTTATTAAAGCCGCCATTGATAAGCTTGGGTTAAAGCACAAGAAACACATTGCTGCCTATGGAGAAGGCAATGAACGTCGTCTCACAGGAAGGCACGAAACTGCTGATATCAACACCTTCTTATGGGTAAATGCTTCTGATTCAGTCTCTTTGGATCAATGGTTGGTTAACGTCTATAATTTGACTAATAGTTCTTGCTCAAACGAGGGGTAGAACCAAAACTAACATGTCGTTGGTAGTTGCTAAGAATCCAGTTGCTTTGATAATCCAGTACATCTAGCAACAAATTGATTAGAGATAACACACTTATGTAGCCAAACTCGTGTTTTTTATCTGCTATTTGCATAGGATGATGGTCCACAAATGCTTATGTCTTTACAGGGTGTGGCGAATCGTGGTGCCTCAATCAGGGTTGGCCGGGATACCGAGAAAGCTGGTAAAGGTTATTTTGAAGACAGAAGGCCTGCTTCAAACATGGATCCCTATGTTGTCACTTCCATGATCGCAGAGACGACCATCCTCTGGAAACCATGAGACCAGCATCCATTATTTTGCTTATTTCCATTGTGATATATAATCATTTGGAGGTGTTTTAGATAAATTTGTTCCGTTCACGTCTTTATGTTATTCTGTCTTTTTTTGGT